TTTTTCTTCTTAGAATTCTGACTTTTTTCCCATACTAAACTGAAATAAAATTTAAAAATCAGTTAACCTTTTTTTTTTTCCCACTGGCCCTAATCCTCTTCCGTAGAGGTGTCTCCATGACTAGATGTGTGGGGAAAGAATCAATTCAGCTGTCTGATATAATATCGGTCTTTCAGTATCTAGTATCGATTTTTAAAAAAACAAAACATTTGACCTAAAACAATGAGGGGAAATGGGCTACCTGTGCACCGCCTCGCTGGCAGGTGGCGCTGTGGAGCCCTTTAGCTGTGCAGCGCAGCACCAGATCTGTTGCTGAGAGTCACACTGGAAGATTTTAGGATTATTTGCAGACCATAAGAAAAATACCTCAAAGAAGCTTAAAATGTTCACAGATTGGGTCAAATTCGGGTTATAAATTTAACTTTATTTGCATGATTCTGATGAGGAAGCACGTTCCATGCTGAGATTGAAAAATTCTAGTTTTTAAAGTTAATAAATTAGTTTTTAATGTTTTAAATTATTTGGCATGTTTTACACTCATGGTATCAAAAAGGGTATAAAGTGTTAAATATATATTGAGTGTTGATGTCAAATTTAAAGTTTTAGTTTAATTTGAGTTTAATTTCTGAGGTCAGTGTTCAGCACTGGGTGTATGGAGTGAATTTTGTTCCAATACTGTTGCAAGAAAATAATGTTTTGTATATAAAAGTTAAAAAAAAAACAACAACACATTTTGTAAATTTTAATTAAAAAAAAGCAATTTTGAAAAGGTTAATGTTCAAAAAAGTTTTTGAGTAACTGCTGTTTTATTGTGTTTTATCTATTTTTTTTTAATACAATTTTCCAAATGGATATACAAAAATTAACATAAAAATATGTTACTAAACATATACCCGCACAGAACAGCACATCATAGAACACGTACACAGTCAAGACAACATGATGAAAACACCGTTAATTGATCCAAAGCATGAAAAAAAAGGATAGTTATACAGAGTATTAAGCTGTTTTATCTTTTTTTTGTTTTGTTTTGTTTTTTTCAACTTTATTTTAAAAGTTTGATAATTTACCGATTTTATATGCTTGCATTTTTTTTCTACAGTTTTTATTTTATTTATTTTTTTTTTTACAGCTTTTGCATTTTCAAATTTCAATTTTCAGATTGCGTTTTAAAATTTGCCTTCCATATATCACCTTGTCTTTACCTGCAGCCAATCTCAGTGTTGACCAGTTAAAATGGCGTCGCTGGCGTCCGTAGAGAGCGATAGAAATGCGTCCTCTCCACGCCCTCATGATGGATTCAGCAGAACTAAAAGTCCAAGTTAGCATCTCTCTGTTCAGAAAGCGCTTTAGACTTTCAGAGGGAATTAACCATCCAACCTTTCCTATCTGGAAGAACACTGCATGTGTTCATTACTGTGATGCAGGTCAGGTGAAGGTTAGGCCGCCCTTTATTAGCTTTATTGTATAATGGTTAAGGAAATCATTTTTCCCCGCTCTGTTTGCCTCCTTCCCTCCCTCCAGGCAGTGAGGATGGACTCTGCTCCTGGCAGGAAGAGAGCGGGCTGCAGGCGCCAGCAGAACGCCTCCCTGATCACGGAGGAGGAGCAGCTCATCAGTGACCTGGATGCTCTGCAGTGCGAAGCAGGAGTCTCCATCCTGCAGGTGTGAGCGCATCTCACCTCAAAACGCTTTACTGCGAAAATAAATCAGTTCATTTGATGCAGAGTCAAAGCAAAGATCCTACATTTCTGATTGGTCCTAATGATCAAAGAACGCAGTCAAGTTTAGTTAATCCAGGTTGGTTTAAGAGTTTCTGAGGAATCCAGCTGATGGCATCCAGTCTTTGACTTTGCAGGATTCGCTCCTTCAGTAGAAAATCACTGGAAATGTGTCGTTGATTTTGCAGCACTGATCTAGGAGTAATTTCTATGCTACAAAAGCAAACTGTTAATATCAGCAGTAGTTCCTTTGATGAGGGTGGATGTTTTATTCCTGCAGGTCCATCCCAGCCTGTCTAGGGTCGGGGTTAGCAGCAGCGTGGCGGCCATGAGCGAACACGTCAGGGTTAGCAGCAGCGTGGCGGCCATGAGCGAACACATCAGTCTGCTGGAAGCTGAACTGGAGACTCAGACGGAGGAACTAAAGTAAGCTCTGATGCAATAAAGCAGGTCGTTTTTGATACGATTTAAAGTTTCATCTTTTTGGTTTGGCAGAGATTATTTACAATTTTGGAATGTTTTTTTTTTTTATGATTTCTTTTAGCATTAATCTTTATTTGTTTGGATCATTATTGCTTTGGCA